TTTCGAGAAGATATTTATGAAAATATCTACAAAAAAAATGAGTGTAAGTTTGGCGTGAGATTAAATATAGGGCACCGTGTTCTTTAATGAACCTTGTGTTTTTTTTCTCTCTCTCTCTTTATCTCTAATTATTTTTCACCTACCCTTTTTTTTAACGAGTTCCACGCGTTTAAGGGTACATCCTGTATATTGTTAGTTACGAGTATTCGGAACACATTTTTATCACAGTTATTTCATTTTCAACGTTATACTTATCATGAATTCAAAACGTTAGATTAACACTAGAACTACGAACCGGTCAAAATGACCGGTTGCATCATTTATTTATACCATTTCCTCTAATATTCTTATTTAATATTTTACGATAATGTCATGATTTTTATTTAATTTGTGTATAGAATAATATTATAGATTATTTATTATCGTAAAATATTAAATAGGAATATTAGATGAAATGGTATAAATAAATGATGCAACCGGTCATTTTGTGTTAAACGAAATATTAACTTATCCCTCTACTCTTTTTTATTTTTTTTGTATAATAATAATCATCGCGAGAAACTCGAAGTATCATCATCGGGTTATTATCTCCGTTCATCTTACCTCCTTCTCATTTTCATCTTTAATGTTCTTTTCGTAAAACCCATTATAGTATGTTTAGATGTTTATCTCATAATATGCAGATCTTCTATTTCAAATGGATCTTTCCTTTTCATTTTAAAACGTTTTATCTACTACTACTACTACTAACTAATACGTCGGATTTACTTTACTTTACTTTACTTTACTTTACTTTACTTTTACGAATAGAAAAAAAGGGGAGAGAAAAAAAAAAAGAAAAGAACACATACGTATTTTATCTTATCCGTATCTTTCTTTGAAAAGTTCTTCCTATTGAAGAAATAACAGGGGTAAAAAAAATCTTCCCTGGATTGTCCTTAATCCGTACCACCGATCGTGACGCATGTTTCGAACGTTCCTTTTAACGTTTACTTCCACGATTGCACATTTTCCCACACAGGGGGTGGATGGGTGGTGGTAAGGGGTGGAGGAGTGTTGTTGGTTGTATGCAGTAACGCTCTTATTCTTCGCGGATTTGCACTTTAATTTTATTCCTTTATCTCTGATTTTTCTTTTCTTTCTTTTCTTTTTTACTGCAATTCTCTTTTTTCGCAAAGCAACAAAAATACGAGAGAAAATTATTTAAGAAAAGTACATTTTAACAAGTATTATAATAAGTAGGAGAAAATGTTATGAAAATCTTGAGAGAGAGAGAGAGAGAGATAAATAATATTTCTTTTTTTTCTTTTCTTTTCTTTTTACTGCAATTCTCTTTTTATCGCAAACAAACAAAAATACGAGAGAAAATTATTTAAGAAATGTACATTTTCACAAGTATTATAATAAGTAGGAGAAAATGTTATGAAAATCTTGAAAGAGAGAGAGAGAGATAAATAATATATATAAGTTTCAAAGGGAATTATATAATAAATCTGATGAACAACTTATTTTGAACTAGTTGTACGTTTCGTCCCTTACTGGGGACTTCATCAGCAACTTGATCATTTACAGTTCACGCGTCAATACATATTATCTTTTTTACAGAGTCATACATTTCAATAAGACTTAACATATTACAATACAATTTAATCCTAAAACACCTTATCTTATCACACGTAAATAATATATTTTACGTGAAGTTAAGAATAAGAAATAATGGTTTCCAAGTAAAGGGGGATGAACTATTAAAATGTTATAGTATAATGTACGTGGCATCTTCTAAACAAACCTGTCCCTCTCATCAGGTTGTATCTTCGAGTAGACAGCCTTGAGTAGAGAGACCACTCGTAAGAGTAATTTTGAGTTAGTGATATACGTTGACATTAACGAGACTAACACCTCTACAGCTTGAAATAACATATGATATAAAGAAAAAGATAGATAGATAGAAAGATAATAAAAGAAAGAAAGAAAGAAGGAAAGAAAGAAAGAAGAACAAACGACAATGACTGTCCCTACGTATATTTATACTCATTTTCTAAATGAGTTCATTTCAAGTCTCTCCCGTGTTGTTTCTTACAAATTTTTCTAAGTAATGACCATTCAAACGAACATATAATAATAATAAAAATATTTCTCATATAATAAAAAAAGTGTAGTGTTCGAAAGTTATGGTAAGATAACGGTTTAAAATTGACTCTATATATAAGATAATAAATACTTATGACTGTAATGAAAAATGATGTTAGATTGACTAGTGAACATAACTATCGAGTTGCTGAGGATGTCCCAAATA